CATATTTTGTGCGTATAGAGGCGCTAATGGACGAGGACCATCTAAAAGTGCGGACAGCGGGCATGTCTACTCTCGTGACTCCTCTCTCTCTGTGCTCGCGACGACTTCGTTATTATAGCCGTCTGCTTGGCTGATGGTTTGACGTATGGGACAAACAGCAGGATGCCAACGTGCGAGCTCGCATCGATGAGCCCTCGCGATCTATTTTCATCCGTCGCGATTTTGACAGAACCGAAGCGTCGGACGCGGTGCCGTCGGCCACGTTGATCAGGAGCTGCTTCGCGAGGTCTCGACGGCGTGTGACATTTACATACATACATATATTTCGCGACGTCGAGAAACGCGGTGTGCTACCAGCTGGGTCACGGCCAGAGATAAATTGTTATTCGGGTTTCTATCAGTCAGTATCGATCGACGGAAATTCCATATCCACGATTGCAAGAAATATCTTGTCTGACCTGATCATTTTGAATGGTGTATGTATATATACGTATATTATACATATATATATATATATATATATATATATATATATATATATATTCTCTATTATTTTATGATTTGTCTTATAGTACCTTTAGGGGATTCATCAATAATTAATTTTTTTCCACAGTTATCGCGCTATAATAATTATCTGATGAATAATATGCTGTTTTCAAACAGTATATGAAAGCTTAATGAGAGATTTTGGATCAAAGAGAGCTGATAAATTAATTATTAAAGTTATGCATCAAACTATACGAATTGTTTGCGTGAATTAGATTAAGATCGTGATTTTCGTACGTGACTGAACTCTTGGAATAAGATAAAAATTATATCCTAACAATGTCGGGTGGAGAGAGAAAGAAAAGAGGATGTGATCGAGGGCATGGATGGGAGGAGGCTGGTGCTGAATTCTATCAAGAAAGTTATCCAGCAGCCATGGAGGCGGATCTGCAACAGGCGCTGCAAAGAGATCCCTCGCATATAGCAACTTTACTTCCTAGCAAGAAATCTCGTGTTGGTAGGTTTATAGTTCATTCTTATTTCTATAAGTAGTATCTTAAAATGTTAATATGACTCTATGATTGATTGATGACATCATAAGACTATATTTAAAACTGTCTAAAATATAAGAACCAAATAAATACCTCCCTTACATCTGTGTTTGATACAGCCACAGCAAAACGAATTCGTAATGACACGAAGACCACATTGAGGAGGCGTACAAGCACTAGATCTCGCGGTACCAGCGGCTGTGTCAATGTTGCCAGATTTATCAGAAAACTTATCCAACGAGGAGCGCACTTGGGAGGAGATTATGCAGATCAAGGCCATGCCCGTTTGCATGTCTCAGAAAATACAATTGAAGAACCAGTTACAAGTACTTTGAAAAATGTACATTTTAATGATAAATTGATGTGACTTGAAGCAATAATTGTTCATATTTTTCAGAGTGCTACGAAGTTAAGACTTCAGGGTTTCGAGCAGCTAAAATGGCAGCGCAGGAAAGCTTGGCAGCAATTCCGCATCAGAATGAAAGAAGCTTATTCCAAGATGGAGCTGTGGAATGACAGTCTCAAGAAGATAGGTGGAAATTTCGGGATGGGCATAGTAGCATATTTTTTATTTATCAAGTGGCTCATGTATCTGAATCTGCTTTTATTCGCCATTATATACTTGCTGATAGTACTGCCAGTGATAGTGTTGGAGGTACCGGAGAACGAAACGTGCTCGTCCAATAACGTCGCTAGCGTAGTCTGTTGCTCCGAGTTGTATAGAAATAAGACCGATGAAAATAGCAGTGTATCTAAGGTCCTCTCTCTTCTATTCTACGGTTCATATACGCAAAAGATTTATGAGAGTGTAGGTACCAATTTCTATTACAACTCACCACTGTCGTACATCTGCACTATCCTTACTGTTTTCATTATTAGTCTGGTAGCGATCGTACGATCGGCCGCCAAAAGTTTCAGGGAGAGAATCGTGGAAGGTGAAGGCCAGTTTTATCGGTACTGCAATTTGGTATTCGGCGGCTGGGATTACTGTATTAACAATGAAAGATCTGCTTCCATAAAACACAAGGCATTGTACAATGAGATGAAAGCGCTTCTGGAGTCGGAAAGGCTGGAGGAGGAGCGACGAAATCGTACACCGGAAGAGGAAACGAAACTGTTCTTCACGCGTCTGTTTGTTAATTTAATAATTCTCACAGTATTGGGCGGCTGCGGCTTGTTCGTTTATTACATAATCGACTTCTCATTCACTCAGATGTCGGCGCATTTGGCAAAGGATCACGAAATATTGAATCTGTTCTTCGAATTTCTTCCATATATATGTATTGTCATACTTAACGTAGCGGTGCCATTTCTCTTTCGCTATTTGGTCGCTCTGGAGCATTATAATCCATCGTATGTCGTTGAAGTGACGCTGTATAGAACTATGTTCTTTAGATTCGCTTCCCTCGCAGTTCTATTAACGTCTTTGCATGCGCTTGTCGCGGGCAAAATTCCAGACAACGAATGCTCCAATAAAAAAACCGAACAGCCACTGTGCTGGGAAACGTTCGTGGGACAGCAATTCATCAAGCTTTACAGCACCGACATTTTCATTCAATTTTTCATGACGTTCTTCATCAATTTTCCACGGTCGCTGATTGCACGTCATACTGAGAACAAGGTTTTGCGCTTCGTAGGCGAGCAGGAATTTGACTTGCCCAAGCACGTACTGGATATCTTCTATTCACAGACAGTCTGCTGGCTCGGCTGCTTCTTTGCTCCGTTACTACCCATGGTCGCCGTCATCGGAACATTCTTGTTGTTTTACATCAAGAAATTTACTTGTCTAGTGAACAGTACACCATCGAATAAAATTTACCGTGCCAGTAGATCGAATTGCCTGTTCATGTTCAATCTGTTGATCTCCTTTATCCTGGCGATGATACCAGTTGGCTACTCCATCGCGAAGATCATGCCATCGAAATCGTGCGGGCCGTTCCGAGGATTGGAGACCGTCTGGTCATTCTTGAGCATGACGTTTTCGCAGTTCCCTAACTGGCTGCAGTCAACTCTATCCTTTTTAGGTACGGCTGCCTTCGGCATACCGGCGTTTGTCATTCTCTCTTTGCTTCTCTATTACTATTATGTGATGTGGTTGGCAAACAAACACATGGTGACAGTATTGAAAAACCAATTAGTACTGGAAGGTCATGATAAACAATTCTTATTGAACAGACTCAGCGCTTTCATTAAGCAACAACAGGATCAGAACAAGTTTCACCAGGAGCAGGTTAATGAGTTGGGCACGTTTCAACATGTATAAATAGGAACTTGATTTCTTTATTTTTATAAATGTACAAATTTAGTGAAAACATTTTTAGTGTAACCGATCACGCTAACCGATTGGTTCGAATGCATTGTTTTATTTGAGATTTTTATAGGTTTTACTTTTTATAGATTTTCCTTATGAAACGTAAGACTGTCGACTTTGTCTTCATTATATTATTCACGAGTGGCACTTATATAACAGTTTTTTGATATTCTACCGAATTGGGATAAAAGTTATACAGACAACAATGAGCGCGGACAATACCAAAAAGATTAACATGTAATTTACTTATATACTGCCTATTGCAGTGTCTTGCATTTTATATAAACTGATGTTTTTCAAGATTTATATTACAGTCGCAATCACTGCCACAAATGTTAGTTTCCGTTTAGTCTCTTTAGATCAATTTCGAGAACTTTCAAACGGGACATATCTCATATTTTAGGAAATTCAATCTTATTTGTATGAAAATGCACATCTGAAATCAGGGTACAAAAAAAAAAGAGAGAAAATGCTATTCTACAAGTATTGTGCAATAGTAAGAAAAATCGTGAATTATTTAAATATTTATTAATTCTGTATAATTTCACGATATCTATGAATCGTAAACAAGTATAGAACCTCACGCACATAAGATTAAAGAAAATCTACTTTAAAACATAATCTTCTTCAGAAATAATATATTGCAGTTATATAATATATTATAGCTAATGTGATATATATCATATATATATGTCTAGCTTAAAGACATTAATATCCGTTTTCACTAACATAGATTAACCTTAATCTTGGTTCAACTTACTCTTCATCTTTTCCTAATTTTTAGAACTAGAAAAAGATAAAGAGTAAGTCGAACCAAGATTAAAGTTAATCTACATTGATGGAAATAAACAAAAACAGGCAGATCGAATTTGCCTACATCTGCCATTTGGGCGGGAACCTTCCTAGTTCGCCTAAGGCTTCGTTTTCCTGGCCTCACAGATTTAAAAATCGAAGATAGGCAGGTACTCACCCGTCTGATTTATATATATATATATATATATGTAAGAAGTAATTATATAAAGTGTATGTTTAACTAAATATATAAAAAACGATAACAAGACTAACGTCCCTCTATAGGACAACATACTTCCTCAACTTTACGAATAAATTAGAGAGCTTTTGCATGAATGAAACAAAGTGACATGCAACGTACCTATTTTTTAGTGTAGTTCCTTAGAAATCTGTAATGTTACTGTAAATAGGTCCTCTAGAACCTATGAAAAGTTATTTTACTAGTGATGTCTATAGTAAAGCGTCGGGAAAAGTCAGAAATATTTTATTATATTTATTATTTCGTTATCGAGGCTTTAATAATTTAGGATATAGGAAACGAACGAATGTGTAAAAATTTTTATAATTCTATATGTATACATCTAGGATTTTTTTTAATTGTAAGTCTCGTACCTCAGTATAAATAACGCCAAAGATAATTCAAATTGAGACTGTAATAAATTATTTATTTCATATATCTATTAACGTAAGATTGTAAACGAATGTAGGATACTTTCATTCATTATCACTAACTCTACATAACACAAAAATAAAAATGTTTTCCATTTTAACGTATGTTTAAATATCGATTATATCGTGCACACAATACACGCTATCGCAAATCGATCTGATTCTTTGGCCTAAATAATTCAATGCACATATTGCGTACTGAAAAATGTATTTTGTAAATCTCACATTTGTATAACTAAGATAGCATGTATGGATGCTCAGATACATCCTAAACTTATTATAGATGTCATAAGCTATTTTGACGACACTATATAAATGCATTTAATATAAAATTAAATATAAAGCTATATAAAAAAAATATATATATATATATATAATCTTCCATAAAACAGATTTACACATTCAAGAAAAATCAGCAGAATGCATTTATATAATTGTATTATTACATTAAACGAAATAATGAAGTCCACAAATATTTAAATAGGAAATTCTTCAAATGTCACTGCTAATTAGGCTATAACAATACTACCATTATATCTGTCACTATCTCTTTACACATCTTAATCATAGAACATATGCAGGTCATTATTTATGGCATAACCACTTGAGTATGATGCCATAAAAATAAATCTGTTATACAAAACATGCTTTTATTATTTTTTTTTCCTATCAAAGTATAAAATGTAACATTCGACAAGAACATATATTTATTTTATATCTTATTAAAATAATCTGCTTCTGATATCATCTATGTTTCTGGTGAATGTAACTAAAAATTATTAGAAAAATTTATTAGAACAATATATTTATTATAACAATATAAAAACTAACACGTTATAACTTACAAATGTAAAAAAACTAACCACTTTAGCTATGTCGACCCAATCTAATGCTGCCACAAAAGCATCATTCTTAGATGGTATTTTATCATAATTCCAATACATTAACTGTGAAAAAGTCCCTGTGCAATACAAATTCCTGTCCTTATTTTCTGTTTCTGTCTTTTTATTTTCCATAAACATCATGCCTCTGAATCCAGCAGGTACAGTTATTTTTTTCCCTTGAAGTGGATAGCCACGAAAAGAACAATCATAATCTTTAAATAATCAAAAGATAAATTAATATCATAAATTAACTTTAAATTCTCTTTAACTTTTTTATTCGTTTGTTACTTCAATTATTATATTCATTTAACGTGTCATGTAAATTATGAAAATTAAACACAGAATAATAAATAAAAAAAATGTAATAAAATTTTACGTTTAATTTTACAGATTTATTTGCTTTTAACATTGTCTATACTTTTAATATTGTTTGTACAAATATGCGATACTGAGGAAATTCTTTTCAACTTTCATTCACTCACATTCTTCATCTAGCTTACGAATGTAAGGCTTGAAAAAGGACGAAACATTCGCAGCTTCGTCTCCATGAATTTTACATGGCATAAAATGTAACTCGGACTCGTCTCGATTAACTAAATCTTTCTCATTAATGTGTAATCGTGTGACCATGTTAATTTAATACTATGCGAAGTAATAATTGTTTAACTCCGAAAAGTTTTGATGAACCTTTATTCTGTATGTATACATACAAACTAACCAATAATATTATGCTTATTATCATACCTGTTCTTTTTAGCAGAACTTTTTGCACAGTTCATCTTTCTTCCTTTTCTCTCCACATTGGAGAGAAAAAGAGAAAAGGTAAACCGTGCAAGAATTTTAGGTTAAAGAACAGACTCCATAACTTAGCGCCATCGTGAAAGAATCATTTCTTCAAACGGTATTTCTAAAATTACCAGATTTTGAAGGTAAGATTTCAAAAATTACTAGGACAAGTGTAACTATGTTTTCAAATATGAGGATGCAAAATTACTTTTCATTCAATTTATGTAATTCGAAATAAAGATTTATTTTAAGAAATAAAAAAATATTAAAAGGGATATTATTATGTATAATTCATGTACAGAAATATTTTTCATATATTGGGAATTTTGTATATTATGCTTGCAAGTACATACATAATATTATTCATTTCATACATTTTGATACATATGATGTGCGATTCAATACAAAATTCAAATGATTTAATTTACAGTCTTTATACTTCATGTTATAAATTAATTTCAATCCGCTACTTTTGATAAATGAACAACTATAGTATGTATTTACATAGTTACTATACTTTCGATTTGCGTAGAAAACAGTAATTATATTTACATAAATCGAATAATGAAATTAAAAACTGTCAATACAAAAGTAGCGTTCTATATACGAAAGAGATAAATAATAATTCTATCTTAATACAATATTATAATTTCGTTAGCTAGCTGAAATTTAAAAATAACATGATTCAACAACATTATTATAAATATTTGGAACTCAAACATTATTTTAAGATCAAATTTATGTGCGTGAGTATATTATAAGCGTAAGTGATGAGCTAATTAAAATAATTACTATAATTATTTTAATATCATAACTTTATCTTTTCATGAGAAATCTGCTATCGTTAAAAATGTACGCAAAGTGACATCTTCAGTATTGGTCTCTGCCCCTACTGTAGCCGCCACGTTGATAACTATTCGAGTTATTGGCACCTTGATTCCATCCACCTTGAACTCTACCTCTTCCTCCTCCGCTTTCTCTCCTGTCCTGATAGTAGTTCCCACCTCGATTGTCACCTCCATACGAGTCTCTCTGGCCGGAATATTGTGGCTGTTGATAATTCTGATTCTGACCGTAACTTTGACCATAATTTTGATTGTAGTTCATGCCAGAATCTCCACGATAAGATCCACCTCCACCGCCTCTCTGATATCCTCCTGCATCTCTATGATCCGGATAACATTCTCTATGTCCATGTCCGGAATATTGAGATTGCTGCTGATAATTCAAGTTCTGGCCAAAGTTACTACTAGCATCTTTATGATCTCGATAGCCGCCACCACCACCACCTCCTCCACCTCCACCTCTGCCACCTCTACTACCTCCGCGTCCTCTATCTCCACCGCCGCCGCCGCGTCCACCTCCACCTCCACCTCCTCCTCTTCCGCCCCTGAAAAAAAGAAATATGTATATACATGCACATATACTATCATTTCATTATCTCTTGATTATAATCCCAATCCTTTTACTCTCTAATTTGTTTGGAGCGAAATCTGACTATAAGGAGTGAAAAATTGAGCCAATCTTGAAAAAATTTTCAATTTTTAAGAATGAGAGATTTTACTCTTCAGAGTGAGATATACTCTAAAAATCTTAGAGAATATATTATTTTATTAACTTACTGGAATGATGGCGGTCCTTGAACTCTATCCTTCTGCCATGGTGGCATCTCTGGTGGAGGTGGCTCTTGTTCGTATGGTCTACCACCTCTGTCCGGAACTGCTCCAATAATAACGCTGTTGATTTTACTTCGTGTATTCTTGCGAACACTCGCGTTACTTGTTTTCTCAATTATTGCTAGATCGTCTCTAGCTGCTAGTAAATCGGCTAATGTTACTTTTGGTTCATTTTTCAGAGTCTTTCTTTTCTCGTCGTATCTATTGTTTACTTCAGTCTCCTGTGACTTTATTCTATCAGACCACTATAAGCGAAATTGTATAATTTTTAATGAAGTGATCATCGAATATATTGATCTGTATATATATAAACAAATATTTTTAAAGCATTTGTTCTTACCAAAAATGATTGAACTGTAACGTCAAGACGTTTGAGCAACATCTCACGTCGAACTATATATTCTTTGTGCATTTCTTCTTGTAGCTGACCTAGTTTCTCCCACTGTTTAGCAGAAAGCTCGACATCTATAAGTGGTTTATCTAAATGATTAGGTGGTACAGTCTTTAGAACTTCTGATAATTTAGTTTCTAGCCGTGAAAACAATAAGTCAGGCGAAATATTGTCTGGTGGCTTTTGAAACTTCAGTATAACCAGCATATTTTTCAAAGTTCTCGCAGTGTCACTTTCATCCTGTACAAAACATAAAGTATATCATTAAATCAGTATATTTTATTAAAATCTTTTGCAATGTCAGTATAAAAAAACACAATTAAAATACTACATTTAAAATTACTTACAATGGTGACTTCTATTTGCTTCTCTTCTTTAGGACATTTCACCTCCAATAATTTACAAGCCATAAGCTCTGTTGTTAAAAATTCTATAAGAATAGCTCTTTCAGATTCATTAGCTAGTCTTTGATTCATATGTCCAGTCATCAGTTTCTCATTTATACATCCTATTTCTTTAAGAAAGAAGCTTAACTCTAAGAGGAAGGAACTAGCATCGTCCGAGCTTGTTGTAGCATGAACAGTTTCATCTATATCTATAAATGTCGCCAGTTGCTCGGTAAACCAGCTTACGAGACTAGTATAATCCGGCGATTTTGCGCCAAGTTTTAAGGCATTCAACAGCTTATTAGCATCAAGCATCGATCCAGTGTATCTATAAAATCATTGAAAATTTATTCTTTCGGTAAAAAATATAAAAGGTGCGACTACATTATAATAATAAAAACTTTAACCAAAATATCTAAGTTTTCAATTCTTTTCAACTCCGAATAAATCCTTCATAAAGTAATCCAATTACTCACCCAACATCTTGGAGCATCTGTAACAGCTTGTCCTCCATTTCAACCGTCTTTTGGGAAGGATTATTCGAATATTACGGAGTAAGATATGCAATAAGCATATACCGTGTACGTATTATCTGGAAATTAATGCAGATACAAGCTACGCTTGAAACGTTTCACTGCCTTGAACTCCCCCAGTTCCTCGACGTCGATGTATTCAATGCACAGAACCGGGTACCGGTTATGGCACTGACATAGATCAAATTGCACAATAAGAAGAAATCAAAGAAAGCTCGGAGACCAATACAACCTGTTTTCAACGTTATGTTTCCTTAGGCTTCGATCATAGAGTGGAGCTATAAGTAAAGCTAGTGCACAGACAAGTGTCAAAGAATATTTCGTCGATTTTGAAGAATTTAGATTTCCGCAGTGCGAAATCCGAATTGCAATTCTTAAAAATTAAAGAAATTCTTGAAAAATTTTCAATAATGTCTCAACTATAATCTTCTTATATTTTGTCGATTTTCGAGATCCTTGATTTTCTCGGTTTCGAAATCTTAGAGAATCAACTTATTCGTTTTCCGTAAGAACAGTAAATTGATTGGCTATGCCACGTATATTTTTTTTATCTCACGACAAGTTTCCTCGTTTTACGTGCGAAAACCGTAAAGATCGCGTCGGCCACCATTTCAGGCAATTCGCGAGATGGCGCGGCGTTAGCGCGTCAATTGGAGTTGTTTCTGGTTGTTCCATACTCCGTAGGCGTCATCATGGTGCGTAGGTCACAGCGTTTCTGAGGGTGAAGCCGAGGAGTTTGTTTTGAATTGACAACGACGCGGATACATCAGCTCCTCGGTGGTGTTATGGTAATTCGCTCGGTCACTGGGCTCGTCGAATTTGTCCTTCAATGCCACGGCGATGATGCGGCACGACAGCGGTGAGCATTGTCGTACAACCGTCTAGAGTCGAACTCTGGGTACACGGTAGTGTGCGTGCGTGTATGTGTGCGTGCGTATTGTGCGCGATGTGGTGCTCGGAGAAGTACCATCGCCTTGCGCGACGACTCGAGCAGAAATGGAACGTCGTGTTCCTGCTGGTCGCATGTTGGCTCACGCTGAACGTATCGTCGACCTTCGCCGAGCCAAACGACAATACAGATCGCTGCCCAGTCGAATGCTCCTGCCTTGGCAATTTGGTCGCCTGCAACGAGCTGCAGCTGATCCAGGCGCCCAGCGGACTGCCCCCGTGGACTGAGATCCTGTGAGTAAACGCTGTGACCTGTCGGTGGCAGGATGGCGTTGATAGGATAACGACTTTGGCTTTGTATATGACAATCGGCATCTAGGTTTTTCTTGCGATGTCAGTCAGGTTTCACAGGGGATGAATCTGTATGTGGAGTATCTTTCATTCATCATTTTCAGGATAAAGATGTGATAATGCTTTGTTATACACGTTGAAAGAATTAGAGGACCGTCTTACTGATTATAAGGCCTGGCTTGTGTTATATGAGTTAACACAGATAAGATAGAAGAATTATAACAAAAATAAAATAATCACTGATATAGATACTTTACGGCTATCAGTGATTTTTATAATTTATTTTTGTGCTTTTAAGATAGTTGAAGGATGGGGAAATAATACTTAATGATAAATATTATAATATAAATTGACAATTTAATGTTTAAAGAAATCTATTTCTTGTCTTACCTGTAATTTGTTAAATCACAATATACATATTATATATTAATTAAAAATTAATTTAATTATTGAATTATTGAAATAATATTAAAAGAGAAACTAAAGTATGAATGTAATTTTTATTTTAAAATAATTTTTCAAACATTTTTATTTTAATAATTTCTAATAAAGTTATAATTTTATAATAAAATATGATAATTTATTAAAAATGTCGATTAACAATCTATGTGTTTATGTCTCAAATAAAAGTTCACAAGCAATGACTATTATGCAGCAATTTATTATTTATTGGATGATAACTGTTATTATACTATTTTGTTTGGTCCCTT